ATATGCATTAGGGAAGAAGAAGAAGAGACCCGTAATAGTTATTGTTTGAATTTTTTAATTCTTTGTCATAAATTACTTTTATGTCATTCAAGCAAGGCAGTAAAATTTTTTGTTATTTTGATAGAAAATTTTACTTAAAAAGGAAAAGTTTGGAAATTGAATTGCAAAATAACACATGATTTAATTAATAATTTAGTAATTTTTTAAAATATGTTGTAACTTTCTGAAAAATATCCAAAATGCTTTAAAATTTCCAAAAATATGTTCAGAAATTTAGTGTTTTTTTTTTTTCCTCAAAAGGGATACAATCAAAATCGAAATTAAAAAAAAAAAAAAAGGAATAAACTGAATTCTAAATTATTTGATTTAATCCAACCAAACTAGTGTGCTAATTGGTGGGAGAGAGAGAACAAAAGGTGGGAGGTAATAAAGATTTTCCATGAAAACAAACAGATAAAAATACTTCTTTTCTTGTTCTTATGAGGAAAAACGCATTCTTTAATATTAAATGGATGAATACATTTACAACTAATACAATAATTCTCTACTCATTAATACACTGGTAGGTGGAGCATTTACACTATTTATTGCTTTTTGTTCATTCTACTAATCGATCTTTGGTGGTAGTTGGGTTGATATCTTTCATTATTGTTGGATTCTTTCTTTTCAGATTTTTTTTTTTTTTTTCTGAAAGTAAGATTTGATTTGAAAGAACTAATAGAAAGAAGATTAACTCGAGTGGTCAAATCTGTAATAAAAATATTTGGGAGATCAAGACTAGCTACTTTCTAGTTAAACTGCGTTCATTTTATTACTCATGCCAGTGCGTGTCTATATATATATATATATATATATATATGGAGAATGTTGTGGTGGGCGGATAGGTTTTCTTCTTTTTTTGGATTAGGAGAGGAAAGGGTTAGGCATGAGTTAGAATATTGTAGTGTGAAAAGAGATGGGTAGCAGCAGAGAGATCAGATCAATGGATGAGACTTCTCCAGCATCTTTGGACGGTGATGATTCATTTCAGAGAAAAAAGCTGAGCGTCTTCTTCATTGAGTCTGATAATAGACGTATGGCTTTCGGCCGAGGCTATACCGGAGGAACTACTCCGGTTAACATCCACGGCAAACCCATCACTGATCTTTCCAGAACCGGCGGTTGGCTTGCAGCAGCTTTCATTTTCGGTAAACAAATTAATGAATTTCCCTCTCTCTCTCTCTCTCTCTCTCTATGTATATATATATGTATATTATATGTATGTATTGAGTTGTTGATTGTGTGCAGGGAATGAAATAGCTGAGAGAATGGCTTATTTTGGGCTCTCCGTTAACATGGTGGCGTTTATGTTCTATGTTATGCACAGACCGTTCGCAAGTTCATCAAATGCTGTAAACAATTTTCTGGGTATATCGCAGGCTTCATCTGTTCTTGGTGGTTTTCTAGCTGATGCATATCTTGGTCGGTATTGGACAATAGCTATTTTCACAACAATCTATCTTGCAGTGAGTTTAAATTCCAGTCTCAAATGATGTCACCCACATATACGTACATACATATATATATATCTATACTGTATATATGACGAGTAATCTAATAGCATGCTTTTGGTTTATGGAGGGTTTGACAGGAATAACATTATGTGCAACGATGAAAGTGATGGTGCCAAATCAAGATGAGTGTGATCAACTATCATCACTTTTAGGGAATTGTCAGCCTGCAAAATCATGGCAAATGCTTTACCTCTACACAGTTCTTTATATAACCGGTTTTGGAGCTGCAGGTATAAGACCCTGTGTTTCTTCATTTGGAGCTGATCAGTTTGATGAAAACAAGAAAAATTACAAAACCCATCTTGATAGATTTTTCAATTTCTTCTATCTTTCTGTAACAATTGGTGCAATTATAGCCTTTACTTTGGTGGTGTATATTCAAATGAAACATGGTTGGGGATCTGCTTTTGGCTCATTGGCTGTAGCAATGGGTTTATCAAACCTGGTTTTCTTTGCTGGTACTCCTTTGTACAGACATAGATTGCCAGGAGGTAGCCCTTTAACAAGGATTGCTCAAGTTCTTGTTGCTGCATTTCGCAAGCGAAGTGTCAAGTTCTCTAGTAGTGACTTAATTGGCCTTTATGAGATTCCTGGCAAGCATTCTGCCATAAAGGGTAGCCGAAAAATAGCTCATACGGACAATTTCAGGTACTTATTCTCATCGATTCGATGTCAAAAAAGAATCCCAGTATTTGTTATTATCATCTTTCAAACTTCTTTTAAAATCTTGAGCTATTATTGAATCCACTCTTCTAACTGTATGGGAATTATTTATATGTATAGATGTTTGGACAAGGCAGCTCTCCAGTTGGAAGAAGATCAAGATCAAACTAATCCTAGTCCTTGGAGGCTTTGCACTGTGACTCAAGTAGAAGAAGTGAAGATACTTGCGAAACTGATTCCAATTCCAGCCTGCACAATTATGCTCAACGTAATCTTGACAGAATTCTTAACTCTTTCAGTTCAACAAGCATATACACTCAACACTCATCTGGGTCGTCTCAAACTTCCCGTAACCTGCATGCCTGTGTTTCCATGTCTCAGCATTTTTCTCATTTTATCACTCTATTACTCGTTGTTCGTTCCGATCTCAAGACGAATCACAGGTCATCCTCACGGTGCCTCTCAGCTTCAAAGAGTGGGAATTGGCCTTGCAGTTTCAATTTTATCGGTAGCATGGGCTGGAGTTTTTGAGAGATACAGAAGAAATTATGCAATAAAACATGGTTATGAGTTTAATTTCTTGACCCCCATGAACAAACTTAGTGCATACTGGTTGTTGATTCAGTACTGTCTGATTGGGATAGCAGAAGTTTTTTGCATAGTGGGATTACTTGAATTTCTATATGAAGAAGCTCCAGATGCAATGAAGAGCATAGGATCAGCTTATGCTGCTCTAGCTGGTGGATTAGGGTGTTTCGTAGCCAGTACACTGAACACCATTATAAAAACTGTAACCGGTGACAGGGAAGGAAGTCAGCGCTCATGGCTATCACAGAACATAAACACAGGAAGATTCGATTATTTATATTGGTTTCTTACAGTGCTGAGTGTAATCAATTTCATTGCCTTTCTTTATTCAGCTAAAGTGTATAAATGCAGAGCTCATGAAAAAGATGAGCAAGAACAAAGTCGAAAATTTTAAACTATATATTAATATTATTTTAAAAATAAGTTATCAATTTAAAATTTTTGCACTTATTACTTTTCACTTATGAAAAGTAAAATTATAGGAAAGCAATTTGTAGTTGGATATAAGCCTAATTATTTAATTATTTTTAACAAATTTTATTTTATTTTACATGACCTAAATTCTAATTAAATGCAATTTTTATCAAATAAAAAGGTTTAGATAATAAACCCCAACCACCGTCTCCAGTTTCCAACTATCCTAATCTCGCCTATCTAAACTCCAATTCATGTCCAAGGTCAGTAAGTGATAGTTTAGAGGAGATTTCCAGCAAAAGCTAACACAAAGCTTTTGATCTAATCATGCTCTCAATAACCAACACAAAAGAAAAAGCTATGTTCAATAAAAAGGACATAAAGCTACAGGTTAACTTGTGTTATTATATATGTGCTAGGGAAGTTCCTTCTACCGAAGACAATCATATTGGTTAATAGCCCCTTACTCATCTTGAAAGAACAAAAAACAAAACATACGTAACCTACACATAGACCCTAATACTGTCCTCAAAGAACTCCAAGATCAAATAACCCCCAAACATTCACACAAAACAAGTCCTTATAACATATCAGTTCGTTAGACCTGCAACAAAGCATGAATGGAAATAATGAATGTTTGCTTGCTGTCTAATCTTTCTACTTCACCGACACACATTTCCGCCCCATCAAGATCAAGTTCGAAGCCCAGATATTTAACACAAAACAGAAAAAATTCACCTGCAAAACTCCCTAATCTGGCTCTTCATATTTTCATGATTCTCACTACAAGGCTTACTGATAAACCTCAAATACAGTTTAGTGTACCCGACGTAAAATGCCTTATAAAATGTGAGAAATTTTAAAAAAGGAGAAAACCAATGTGAACTTTCACACCTCATTTTGATCACTGGGGAACACATATAGTACAGTTGCTAATTCTCTAAATATACTTCAATCCAGAGATGTATTGCTGTCTAGAGATCACATACTGGGCAATGGAATAAATAATTCCTAAGAACCCCAATAGCCTAATCTGAAACACATCTGATATTATAACCGACGGCAGATTAAGAGGCAAGGTCAGAATTGGTGTTGTGTCTGTCTTTTTTGCATAAGTCCATACAAACCTGTTGCAAAGGATATGGCTAGGGAATGTAAGAATCAAGAGGGCCAAATTCTTGACCGCGAAGAACCAATCAGGACCACCAATTTCAATGCCCCATCCTGCATTCCCGTGCCAAACATCTTCCCATATGCTATACAGAGTAGACAACACCAAATAAGCTGATATGGCTACTGTTACAGGAAAATACCTCTGCTTATCCCCAAACCCAGCAACAAAATCAGAGTCCTGGTTAAGGAGTAGCAAAATAGGAGCGAGGAAGAATATTGCCTGGTTTGAGCCTCCAGTAAGATAGATGTTCAAGATTAGGCATATAGCAAAGCACATGATAGTAGCAACATTGCCAACAGCCGGCATCCAGGCTCCCTCAGCAGACATCCTCTTAATTGTGAAACTTGGCACAGTGGAGGCACGACGCTGATTCATGAACCTCATCCGTGGAGGAAAACTAGCACTACTACCATTACCAGACTGGTTATGTCTGACTCCACCTCTTTCAAAAGCCTTTTCTCGCATAAGTGAGGCCAATTCAAACTTTATCTCCAAAGCTATAAGCATAAAGACTGCAGCATATAAACCAAGAAGAGAGGTCCTCGCACCCTCAACAGCAAGTAGAGTTGTGAGCTTCCTGTCTTCCTCTCCCATGTCCCCAACTCCATTATCTCCATGGATGCTTTTGATTCTTACCTGACCTTCCAGCAGATATGCCACAGGAAAGAGAGCCACAAGAAGAGCAAACACCCATGGTAGAAACTTTGTGCTTGAGGCTGAAGGAAAATGAGTAAAGACAACAAAAACTGAGGCACAGACCATGGTTACAATTATTAGGGCATGCAAGATGGTATCCTGAAGGAAGAATTCTGCAGATATATAAATGCCAAGGGAAACCCCCATAGCAATGGAGTAACATGCTCTTAGCTCTGCAATGTACTTAATGGGTATGATAGACGTAACAGCCGCTAGAGTGAGCAGAATTGCCACAATAAGTAGCCAAGAGGGCCACGAAGGCTTCAACGCCATGAAACCATATATGGAGATGTCATCAACTGATTGACGAGCAGCTCTGATAAGGTCAGATCGGTAAGTCCATGTCAACGGGATTGGTGGCTGCATTAGAATAAACAGGAGTCCCGTAGCTACCACCAATACTAGGCATCTCTTAGCAGACTGCAAAGAAGGAAAAGATTCAAATAAATCAAATTATAGAATATTAGCCACTTCTGTGGCCAGGGCTTAACAATGTCCCTTTTTCACCAATTGAACCAAAATAATAATAATAATAATAAAGCTTCACCAGTCTAATAAATATGAAAAATTCATGTAAGTTCATCAGGACAATCGAGCTTAAACAAGCTCTGCACCTCTGCCGCAGTTCAACAGTGATGATAGTCATCGTCACTGAATTGATCAAAAACATGCAACTCTGAATGGGGAGACAAATAGCAAAATCCGAAATGTTTTACTTTTTTTCTTCATTCAGAAATAAAAAACCACATAAAACTTTCAAAATTTTGCACTTGATTCTACTCAAATCCCGTAAAAAATTGTTCTGAAATGAGCTCCTGAGAAGCCCGATAACATGAGCACTCTTATCATTCATCACTTGTTTCGGGAGAGTAAAGGGAAACAAGTATAGCTGAGATGCAGAAGTTTGATTTTTTTTCAAGTTAACATATCATGAATGCAGTTAGATATTTTTTCTAGTGGGACAATAATAGGTAACTTAAAAGGCTCACATACCATGACATGTGAAAAATGCAGGGCAACAATTGGAACACAGGCTAAACCAGTCAAAAGAATACAGAAACCCAAAAGTACACCATCAGATGGAGGTCTCCCATTCCACCACTGTAGTGCTTCAAAAATTGTTTCACGGAAAAACCAGACAGATAAGGCAACCACACCAGCATGCACATAGCCTTGCCAAGCTTTCATCTTAGAGGCTGTCCTTGACTTTTCCCTGAACATTCATAGGTTGATGAACAATCAAATTCAATGTTATTTACATTCCAAAGGGTCAAGACGAATAGAACTGAGAGAAAAGAAATTATCCAGCACATACTTGTAAAGAAGCAATGGAGGAGAAACAGCCATCAGAAGGACTGCCGACACCCATACAACGGATTTTGAACTGATAAACAACATGGCCAGCTTCGACGAATAGAGACAAGTTAAAATCCAGATTGTCTTTTGTCCAATCCTATGATCAACAGAAAGCCTTCTTATTAAAGCCAACCCAACAAAAGTTGTCAATATGACCATGTAGCTTGGATACATCACTTCATCGTCCAATCCGTAGAAGTATATGCTTGAGTAATTAAAAAATCGATTCTCAATATAGCATAGCAGCAACGAGTGACTGATCAGAGCAACTTCAGTGAAAAAATTAAGTCTTGGTGGTAGCAGAGCTAAACCAGGAACAGCCATTGCTAAAATAACATCTGCGACAATAAGTTTACAGAAAGATTTCAGGGACATGCCTGCCAGCCATATGTTTAGATCCCAGAAATTATGCATCACAAACCATGTGACCATCAAGCTTCCAAGCGCAACAAATGCAAAGTACGAAAGTAGGCTCTTCTTTGTAAAAAAACGAGCCAAATAAAATCCAGCTACTGAAGGCAGCGGAATGAACTGCAAAATAAAAGAGAAAGCTTTTTCCTCATTTCTCACAAGAATTTACAAATGAAAAGGAAGCAACCTAGAGCAGTGGAAAGTTAAAACGTTACTCTAAGTATCTACACCAACAGTTTCTTTTTTTTTTTCTTTTTCTGGTAACATCCATACCAACAATTAAATACACATCATAATGCATCAGGGTCCATCTATCCACCTTTCCTGTAGAAAGGGAAGGAAACAATAAAAACAGCTAAAACTGAAGGGGTATAATTGCAACCTATATGGAGGCAGTAGTTTTGAAACAGTTTAAAGCACATTAGGCCAATGATATCAAATATTATGTATAAAAAGGGAATTTTCCAAGAAAAGAAGTGATAGACACCAACTGCTAGCAAGCAAGTTTATATGCTTGTTACTTGGGGAGCCAAGCCTCATGCATTAACAAACTAGTTACACCGACTCTTATTTCAAGTACATATCAAAGATAACATTTAACAGATACTTCTAAATATAATAGCTGCAAAGCCAATTAAAGAAAACATACAAAGTACCTAACCTCAGGAACACAGGGTCTAAATCTGCAATCAATGAACATCCAGCCACTGGCTAACCACAGAGATTTAACAATTTGGCAATACTGAAACCTATCTCAATGCATCCTCTTATCCATGATTCAGAGATGATTGCTGGAGAGACCTGACCATATCCTTTCTTAACAGATAACTAAATGTTTTCTACTTAGTCTGTACTAACTTTTGCTATTCGTATCTGGCTTAACAACTCTTCAATGTTTATATTTTGCTAAACAAGTAATGTTAGACTTCCACACTCTCCAAGTAGGAAATACTAACAGTGATTAAAAGAAGTATTTCATCTTGTTTGACGAAGTAAACAGTATCAAAAAAGCGTATTTGCTGGAACATTAAAAGCTCCAACTTAAGCCTCCTTCATTTTTTTCACCAAAAAAAATTGTTCCAAAAGCATCAAGATGATGCAACCAAAGAGATTCATCCTGTTTCTTGGATGCATCTGTTTTCATTCATACTCCTGTGATTTCTTTCTATATAGCATCCTTAGTACTCTCACAGAATCGGTAACTAAAAAGAATCACTTAACATTAATCTAATCTAATCAATGTTTAATTTTGATAGAGTTGGGGAACTTTGGTTCCAGACCCTGGGTTTCTTGTAAAGGGTCACCCTCTTAATTGTGATGAGGACCTTAGGAACCTAATTTGATATTCTTACTTAGCAGTGAACTCCTTTCTTGTATTCAGGTTGAGGTGCTTTGCAAGAGTGCTTGTAGTGGAAAATTCAGCGAAGTTCTTGATCTATTAAGTAATATGTCAGCTTATCCACCCGTGTAAAGCACATATTAATAACTTACATAAACTCTAGCTTTAACAGAACAAGTAATCAAAAAAATCACGGATGGAACTAAATCTTAGAAAGGGAAATGCTTACCAATATTGGAAATCCCACAACGATTGCTCCAGCAGCACTGACAACAACAGCCAAAGCAGAGAAAGCTGCGGACGAAAGGGCATCAGAGACAATACCAAGGGCATAAGCACCAGCCCCGGCAGCCCCTCCAAGCATCGCCATGGTCACAAGTAGATAATTCAAAGGAGGTGGAACTTGAATGTACCGCACAAAGGAATGGAAGACAACTCTAATCTCCAAACAGATCACCACAACAACTAAAGCAATGGCACCATTGACGATACGAATGCTCTGCATTTGATGTGCGTTTTTAGTAACCCACCAAAGTGCACCCCTCGTGGATGCATAAAGTTGGAACAAGAACGGAATGAAGAACAAAAGCAACAAATCACAAATGGAAGCAGCCGAAGAAAATATGACCGAGTAACGAGAGGCAACGTGAAAGAGCAAAGGGAAAAACATCAAATTCAAAGAGTGGATACAACTTTCCAGCGGGCCAAGGATTAAGTTATCATCAGGAACCTCTCCGCCATGATACTTGACTTCCTGCTTAGCTTTAAAAGAGGAAACCCGAGGGATCAAGAAAAGCCAATAGAACACGCAATTAAACGCCATGAGATAGTAAGCGGCATTGTCCATACCGACGGCAGAGATGGTGGCCCACGTGAAAAGCGTAGATGCAGCTAATGGGACGCAGGCAAACAAGAGGCGTTCAAGAGCGAGAACAATGGAAGGGTTCTCGATTTGAATCCATTTGAACTGAAGAGAAGCCCAGACACCGATTAAGAAATTGGTCTTGGCACAGAGAAAGGCTGCCAGGGCGCCAAGAGGGAGGGAGTTGAAGGAGACGAATAACGAAGCGCTAAAGAAAAAGGCGATCTGCGCGGCGATCAAAGAGAACCAGACACCGATAAATGCCCCGAGCTTCAGGTTGAGAGAATCCACTATGTAAGAGATCATGAGCCCTAGGGTAAGGGTAGCAACTACCGGAGTTCCCCCCAGATCGAGAAGGAAAGCAGCGCAAGGGACGAGGGCGACAGCGATTCGAAGATTGTGAGCAAAGGAGGATGGAGAGAATCGGGAATTTTTGAGAGATCGCGAGGAGGAAGAAGTGACGTCGCCGGTGCAGTTACCGTGAGGGTTAGGGTTTTCGGAGTAAGAGGAGGCATTAGTGGGGGTGCCGAATGAGGAGAAGGTAGGGGCACTAACGGAGGACGATATGTAGGGACGGAAGGAGCGCGACTGGAGCTCCGGCGGCATCATTTTGGCCGGAATTTAGCAGAGAGAGCTATGGTCTGATTTTAGTGTGAAATAAGCTGGTGGGTGGGCTGAATTTCCAGAATCAAGGCGGTCAGGTCTCGGGCAGACTCATTTTCTCTTGGGTAAAACAATGACGTGTTTCCAGGGACGTGTGCCGTTGGATGGTCATATACTCTGTATTAGATAATTTATATATTATCTAGTAATTGTTTTCGAAAAAAGAAAATCCGTAATATATATAGATAAAAGCTGAAATTTTTAGAAGGGTGAAGGAAGAATGAGTTGGCTCCAAAGCTCAAAACCATTACCCCGGGAAGAAGTTGTTGGACCAAGCCATTATCTTTTGGAGGGATACAAGTACAAGATAAGTAAATTAGTCTCTTAAGTCATCATTAATTCAAAACATAATATATATAGATAAAAGCTGAAATTTTTAAAAGGGTGAAGAAAGAATGAGTTGGCTACAAAGCTCCAAGCCATTGTCCGGAGAAGAAGTTGTTGGGCCGAGCCATTTTCTTTCTGACGGATACAAGTACAAGATAAATAAATTAGCCTCTAAGTCATCATTAATTCAAAATAAAAAGGCTCGTGGGTCGAGGAAGTTCTAATCTATGATCTTGAATTTGAAATGTTTGTTTGAGTTTTTCGGCATGTTATCTTGTGATAGGTCCATTAGGCATTATGATACTCTTTTAATATGGCCCAAGCCCATCATATGTTGTGTACAACCCTTGTTTGTCTCCATGTAGGTGTTGTTCATGGTCCAAACTACCTTGATCTCTACTTGGACAATCTATGTCGTCTTGGTCTCTATTTGGACAACCCAAGTCGTGACCTTATAAGCTTAAATGGTTCATGTCACATTGATCTCCACTTGGATGGTCTAAATCGTGACATTCATCATTCATGAGCCTTAAATTGTGACCTCTTAAGCTTATTAGGTCATGAGCTCCATCTTGAATTGTGTTTTACTATCCCTTAATGTCGATGTGACCTTTTAACGTCATATAGCCATGATTTCCCTTGAGGTTGTGAAGCCTTAAGCTCATGTAGCCATGATCCTTTATGTGACTGTGAGTTTTTGTGTATTATTGAGCTCCCTTATGGCTTAGTTTGATTTAGCCTACCTTAATCTTTGTCAATCTCCATCTCCTTATGATAATCCTCAATAGACATAGATCTTTGTGTTAAGCATTACAACTTTTAATGCATTTCATGGTAATAGTAAGAAGGTACAAACTTCTTTCTCATAATAGTCTTCATCCCCCTTCAAGTTGAGGCAAGTCTTTCTCAATTATGCCTCATACTAAGTAATAGTTGTTGCCAACAAACTAGAGCAAAATCGGTGAATTCAATTGCTGCAAGCTTCATCTTCTTCTTTTCATAATAATTATGACAATCACAAACAAGCTCTACCTTTCATTCCTACTCTAAGTAACCTTCAACATCATTTCTCCCTTTGAATGGTGGTACTTTCATCTTTATAGAGTTCAAGCTGCTATCTTTTTATCTTCCTTCCGATTGAATCGTACTTCATCCAAGTCATCATTATTATAGGAATCGACCTCTTCCTCTTGGATTTGGCTTTTGGGGCGTTGTGCATTGAGAGTTCTTTACCTCACTTCATCAAGATCAGTTCTTAAATCTCTCATCACCCTATTAAGGTTCGTAAGTTCTCTTTGGATAGCTTCCATATAAAGTCTCATATTGGTTGGGGCATTATGTTCACTAGGTTAAGACATTGTGAAATCTTGCAAGGAAATGTTAGCAAAGAAAATAACGTTTTCTCACGTGTTTTACTCTTGTATTTCCCTTAAAGTTGTCTTTAACCTTCTTTTGATCTTATAGTCTCAAGTTTTTTACCAGCCAACCTCTTTCTTTCAAGTTGACTATCAGAAATGAAATTCCTTGAATCAAGATAATCAAGTTATGATATAAATGATGCCAACCCAAGATCAACTATATAATTCAAACCTACACATATATAATTAGCATAAAACCTTAATCCCTAAATAAATTCTCCTCACTTAACCCACAATTAATCTGTTATTAAAACTGTCGTATAAAATTAAAAACGCCTATAACACCCGTTGTAAAAAAGACACGTTCATTCGTAAGTCTATAAGATAGAAACTCTTCTTATAAAAGGGTATGACTCTTGGTAAGTATATAAGGGAGAAAAAATTTGTTTATGATAATTTTTAAGAAAGCAAATAATATTAAAAAAATATATATTACCATTCTCTCTCTTACATTAAATTAAGGCATAAACAGACTTAAGTTTTGGGTTGTGAAGATTTTTCGAAACCTAGTAGCTTTCGGGAGAAAAAAAAAAGG